GGAACAGGCTACACTCGGGGGGGGGGAGAGAAAGTTTGGGGTACTTTACAGCAAAGAACCTGTAAGGTACCACAAGTATATTCTAAGTTTCCGACTGTTCTTGTGCGCTATATTGCTTTTTTTCTGCGGGTGTGCGGGTGTGTGAGGCGTCGTGAGTGGGGTTGTGGTCGTGTGGAGAAGGTGAAGAGTCGTGATTGTATGTTGCGCGTGCGGTAGGTGGAGCTAGGGCCGATGCGCGCGAGGGTCCTGCCTGTGGCGCGCGACGAACAAGTGCCCGGCGAAAGAGAACGCGACTACGACGCGCACGAGTTGCTGGTGGACTTAGGAAGCAGATTCTCAGTATCACTACCTCCGCCTTAGCATTTCAGGTAGCACATATCCTTGATACGGGGCGACATACACCCGCTCCTCTACTTTCAGACGCACTTTGGACGCTTCGCGCCACGCCGCTCCCTACTTGCCCTCCTCCTCACCCTACAAACCCACCTCCCCGGCCTCCCCCCCAACCGACAGTTCCCCTCACACCAGCAACTATGCTTCTCCCTATTGAATATCTCCTGCAAAACGACTATATCTTATTCTAAACACATAATATACACAACTATATATATAACGAAAACGGGAAGGTAGATTTACCGGTAATATACAAAATAAATATATGGTGGATGGTTAAGTGGTAGTGGGGGATAGGTCTGGTGGGTAGTGAGTTATGTTTAGGAGTAGTAGTGAGCGGCAGGGTAGGACTTTGGGGTAGTGGCGGAAGGGGAAGGGGAAGGGTAAGTGGGAGAGGAGTAGTGATGGGCAGCGTTGTCGGAAGGGGAACGGGAAGGGGAAGGGTGGGCTTCGGCTGGAGGGGGGGCGGCGGTTTCTGGGGGAGGAGAAGAGCAGCAGAACGACGACGAAGACGAAGAAGAAGAATAGCAGGGGCGGGAGTTTGACGTGGGAGTGGGAGAGTATCACGCGGTCGAGCGGGCGCGAGTGTGATCCTTAGTCGAGGAGCACGCGCCGCTATTTCAGGAGGAGGGCGTGGTACTGCCGTTACAGGCGGCCGCACCGCATCACCAGCTTCTTCATCCGGCAGCTCTGGAGCACGAACCAGCGGCCCAGCCGCAACTCCCGCGCGTGGAACCGCAGGTGCCGCCGCCGGACGGCGCAGTGCCGGAACTCGTAGCGCAGCGACGTCTCGCGCATCTTCAGCCGCGGGCACATCCACTTCCCCTCGGCGACCCTCTGCCTGCGCTCGCTCTGCCTCCCCAGCTCCCACTTAGACTTCTCTCCTTTCAATCGTATCTTAGAGTTTCGTATTCTTATGCTTCTTCTTCCCTTATCCTCCTTTCGCTCACCTCCCACCCCCTGCATGAAAGCTCACTCCCGGAGGTCTTACCAAACGACGAAGAGTACGCACAGGCTGTGCGGTTCTATGTCGTAGAACAGCTTGGCTGGCCCTGCGTCGTCGCGTCCTAGGTCGTTTAGTCCGGACAACCACCGAGGTTAGTGTTTGTGCGGCGGGCGCAGCAGCGGCGGGCTGTACGGCAGGTCGAGCCGGTCGTCGACGCTGTGCTACGCCAGGTACTGCGGCGGTCTCAGGATAGAAGAAAGGGGAACTCACACTTGACAAGTCGTCCTTTGGGTGCCTCCTGAGAAACATCATCTCCCGTTCCGCGCATAAACACCAACGTCCTGCGCTCCTCGATATCCCATTCCTTCGGGTTCGGGTCATGCCCGAGGGCATATCTCCTCCACACGTCGACAAACACCTTTTCACTGCCGGGCTTCTTCTCCTCGCCCTTGACGCGCACGTCCCCGATCTCTTCTCTACAAACCCATGGCCTTCCGTCAAGCACCAGGTTTCTCCGGTGGTGGTGGTGGAAGCGCACTTCGCCGCCTGCCCAGAGGCGCTTGGTGAATTCCTCGTTGGGCGCGTGGTCTCTGTCTGCGCCGTCGGGGGCGAGCTGCGATGCGGGCGTTTGTAGGGGGAAGTAGACCAGGTGGTGGCCCTGCGGGAGGTGCTGCTGTCTTGTTGTTGATGCTGGTGGTGTGCGGAGGAGGAGAAGGTCGTCGAGGGTGGTGGTGAGGAGGTGGGAGGGCATGGGGACGAGGTAGTCGCGGATGACCTTGGGGGGTCTTGATCTGAGGTCTTGGATGTCGATGGGTTTGGGGGAGGGCGTTGCGTGTGAGTATGAGTGTGAGTATGGGCATGGCTGGGGGTGTGAGGCTGGTGAGGTTGAGATGTGTGGTCGTTTGCGGGAGAAGAGTCTTGGGGCTATGCTCCTTGGAGGCATTGCGTCTGTGGTATGAGTGTCGGCGGTGTATGAGGTGAAATTGTAAATCTGGTAAGGCAGAGAGAGGATGATAGTGTGTATGAGAGATGATTTGAAGCTGTAAGCTGTAAGCGGGTGAGAGCTACAACAAGGCCAAAGTCGGAGCTCTTATCGATATGCGTCGCCTCGGCTTGCAGTTCCATTCAAGCCCATCCGTCATCCGGCTATGAGCGGCACTTGTCGGAGGAGTCAATTGGCAATAGACTCACAAGCTGTGAGCATTTATCTACTTCTCACTATCAGATTCGTCAAAGCCATCGTCTTTCATAGGAGTGTAGAAAAGCAAGATAGTAGATAATCTCGCAAGGCGTGACAATGAGAGAATGGTGTGACGTCAGGCGGCAATCGGCCACCTTTTCTCATGAGCTATCAAGGTTGAAGGACATGAGAATTGAATGAGACGGCGAGATGCACATCTGCTGTGGTGAACCGATTTGAGATTCAATTGATTAGATGCCAGAGGGTTCACAACCAGGACCACTCATATGAAGAAAGATTCACTTGGATTATCTAGTAGGTAGTGGGAGTTTATGCTGTCACAGGCCAATTCCGTCCCAACCCTATATCAACTCGTCTGACATCGCTTGCCGATTCGGCACCGACGTGGCTATTCGAACTCCAGCTTAACATATGATTGCATCGCTTGTAGGATCGAATCAATGGTCGATCTCATTATTCTCTTCTTTCTATTCACATTCTGCCTCTGACTTCCACTGGTTTCCACCAAGCATACAGAAACCGCATATAACCCCCCAACACAGCCTCAACTCTTCACCACCACCACCCAGACACACACCACAGACAACCCCTCAGTATCAACAACCAAGTCCAAACAAACAATGCTCAAATACGTCGAAGCCGCCGCAAGCTGGCTCTTCGCCAACGCCAAAGCCCACGACGCAAAGGCCTTCACAAAGGGCGCCTCATTCACCTCCCACCCCGCGCCCACCATCCCCATCACCTCCCCCGACTGCGGCCCGG